AAAACGTGTGGTCGTTTTTCAATAATGATCCGAGTGAAACTTGCCAATGTTTTTTGGCTAAATCGTTTTTATATGATGATAAGCTAAAAAAATGCTGTGTAGAAAAAGTTAAACATACATTTTCAGTCATGAAATATACTAAAAACACTCATTGTGAGAAGAAAACTTTTGTACAAATTATTATTGTTATTATTATGAACCAAGCAGAAACATTGGATGATTTTGTGGTTGACAGACGTCGCACACACTTGATGAAAAATAAGAACGTGATAATTTATTGGGACCATACAAATGTATAAACAATAAAATACATTTATTGTAAATTCAAAATTCGTAACAATAAGTCGCTGAAGATAATGACTTGGTCCAGGCGTTAAGACTGTTCGTTTTACTCAAACTTTACAATTCTTCCTTCCACTACTGGTCTGCGGTACGTTTTCGAACTTAACGCTAAAATTCAGGGCTCCAGTCTTCACGATGGACACACCAGATGATCCAAAATGGCTTTCATTTAAATCAAATAACAACAAAAATCATAGTAACGTAATATTTACACGGTAGTTACCAGTCTCCTACCACCCAGTGGTATGTCTGCGGACCTTACAACGCTAGAATCCGGGTTTCGATACCGATGGGCAGAGCATAGATAGCCCATTGTGTAGCTTTGTGCTTAATTACAAAAAATCAAACCATTCTCCTATAGTCTTTTTTTATATATGAAGATTAAACAACACCTGAACACTAAAACGTAGATCCCAATTTACTGAATATAACTTCACCTAAACAGAAACATATCAACTACAGAGGAACAATCCGTATGTTTAGACCAATGTTAACTTTTCACATACAGTCGTAAGGTTTTTAATCGAGCCTTCGAGAAGATTTTTATTTTAACAATAGAAGGTGCTTATCGGCAAAATTTTAATAGACATTTACAAAATACGATCAAGGTATGATTTATTGTACAGGATAATACGATTACCGAATACAATAAAGAAAATAAGTGACATGCTTCTATATAAAAGTATACTTCAAAATACGATGGAGTGAATGATTTTCTTAAGATGTTTACAATATTAAAATAAAAAATTAAGAAGGGAAAGGAATACAGTGAATTTAGGAGAAACGAAAATACAGTTTCATTTCTGGGATAAACGATATTCATTTACCGTCCAAAATACAGATTTAAAACGTTACGAAAGAAGGAAAACGTGGCACGCCCTCGAAATAGATGTTTTTGGATTTTTCGCAAAATTAGATAAGAACACTGTGAGAGAAAATATGGTACGTTTTTGATCGTAGTTTATTCTGATTTGTATAGGTAACGAGGGCGTTTCTGACCAAATTATGTGTGCCAGTTTTCTCATCATGTGTTAAAACATATTGGTTAAATCACATGTCTTTGATTTTCACGATACCATTTAAACCATTAAGTTGTGAAAGAGAGAAAACCATGCTTAGACAAAAGGTCTGGTCTGTGGAGGAAGTACCATGTTTCATGTGGAGAAGTCTTAATTGTCTCGTACTACATTTATATCCATAGTTCTATTCTATTCTAACTTCATTAACGATCTTCATTTAACATTCAAAATACAGATTTTAAAACGTTACGAAAGAAGGAAAACGTGGCACGTTTGTGGAGTAAGTACCATGTTTCATGTGGAGACGTCTTAATTGTCTCATACTATATTTATATTCATAGTTCTATTCTATTCTAACTACGAAAATGTAGGAAACGGGAGTAACGTTTTGAATAAAAATAAAAATTCTCTTAATGATCCATAAAGTCAATTTGAAATTGAATAAATATAGTCCATTTCTTCGTCGAACTTTTTCAGAAAAAATACACTTATACATGGAAAGTTTTCTCAGATAATTGTTAATACTTGTTGAGGGAAATATAGTAGTGTCATAATTTTTTAAGTCAATCGTTTTTAGTCTAACCTTAAAAAGCGAATTTAGACACTTTTTTGGAATAGAAGGGACACATTTATATACAGTACATTATTATTTGTAAAGAAGATGAAATCTGTATGAACTAGGCCCGGCATGGCTAGGTGTTTAGGGCGCTCGACTCGCAATCTGCGGGTTCGAATCCCCGTCCCAGCAAACATGCTAGCCCTTTCACCTTTGTGGGGCGTTATAAGGTGACGGTCAATCCCACTATTCGTTGGTAAAATAGTAGTCCAAAAGTTGGCGGTGGGTGGTGATGACAGTTGCCTTTACTCTAGTCTTACACTGCTAAATTAGGGAGGGCTAGTGCAGATAGCCCTCGTGTAGCTTTTCGCGAAATTCAAAACAAACTGCTTATTATGGGTTTTATAATGTGTTGTTTTTGATAAGTATACTGGAATGGACGGGAACTGCCTATTTGAGACAGTGTGTGTATCCTGCTACAGATTACACACACTAA